GCGGGGCGCGGGGCCGGGCGCTCCGGGGCAGGGGCGGAGCCGGTTGGCCTGCGGCCGCGTTTCCATGGCAGCCCCGCAGGCATGCCCAGCCGAGCGCCGAGTCTGGGCAGGCCAGCAAAACGATCCAATGGGCGGGAGCGACTGTCTCCCTGTCCTGCCTCCGTCACTGTTGGTCCGAGCATTTTATTGACAGTAGTTTTGTATTGCTGCTCGGGTACTTTTGGCAGTGCTGTAGCGTTTGCTATCCTCGTCCTTACTTCTAATAATCTATACATTTTAAAAAATAATTGTGGGGGCACTTGTGATGAGCACTGGGTGTTGCATGTAAATGATGAATCACTGAAGTCTACTCCTGAAACCAATATTGCACTGTAATGTTAACTAAAACTTAAATAAAAATTAAAAAGTAAATAATTCAAGTTTGTCCCCTTAGGGCTCTCTCAAAATTATGTCTTGAACTCCCCTGTCCCCATGCTGTCCCTGAGAATTCCGCACCCCCTCCAGGCATACCAATAATACCCTCATGTGGCGTCTGCTCGCTCCCTTACCGGGTGTATTTCACGGTTTCCGCAGCATTGATGAAGAAAGTGGTCAAGGAGGGCGTCCGTGGGACGCTGCGCCTGCACCCCACCCGCCCCCACCCCTGCCCCGGGAATGCACTCCTCGCACCCACACCGCCAATGCGCGTCCTGCACAAGGGTGCAGAACATTCAGGAAACAGACCATGTGCCAGCGGTAAGTCAGTTTCAACACATTTCAAAGTTCAAATCATACATAAATAAGGCCACAGGAAGAATGGTCTATAAAACAACAATGAAAAGATAACTAGAAGAAAGCATGTTTTTCATCATTAAGAAACATTTCTAAATTTCTCATGGGTCAAAGAGGAACTCACAATACAAATTGTAAAGTATTTTAATGGAATGAGGATGAAAATACAAGATGTCCAGATCTTGTGGGATGCAGTTAAAATCATGCCTGGAGGGAAACTGAGAACTCTAAAGGCATACACTAGGAAATAAACACATATACGTCATATACACAGGGTATATGGGAACTCCGAAGTATCTTTGCAATTGCTCTGTGAATCTAAAACTTTCCTAAATTAAAAAGTTTATTTTAAAAGTGGAAAAAAAGTTAGCTAACTGGAATTAAAAAAAAAAATAGGTGAAAAGGAAAATCACAGAGATGAGAGGAAATTTGCAATCTATATGTATGTCATCGATAAGGGAAGGGACGTAGGGTCCAGTTCCAAGACAGAAATCCCACCAATGAGTTGACCGGAGAGAAGTTAATGGAAGGGGTTGTTCCAAGGCACAGAGTTTTTT